TCTAGGGAATGTTTTTAAGGTTGGGGATTTAATAAATGAGTCAGTCACGAAGGGTGGTGGCAGCTGTCATTGCTCTCTGTTCTTCGGAACAGAATACAATCTTTTGGTGACCATGATGATGGCAACACAACCTCAGAGGCAACCGATGCCACCCCACTCTCTCAACCCTCAACCATCAAACCACTAGTAGTTTTTTGGTTACAATCGCAGCAATCATCACAATGACGGCCATTTCCAAGAGTTCAAGAATTCTACTCTTCTGTATGGTTCTGTCGCTGTCGTTGAGCAAAAGTTTCTCCTTTCAAGCACATGGAGCAAAGTCTTTTTATCCCTTGGCAAGATCAGGATCAGTAATAGCATCAGGATTCAGAACAAGACCAACGATTCGGCAAAGCTCCAAGTCGGACTATGAAGAAAGCAATGACTTACCACAAGAAAAACAAAATGAAGAATCCTCTACATCGTTTTGGAAGGCATTATCGAATCAACTGGACAATCAACAAACGAAGCGACCACCCATTCAAGTAGACGATGCCAACTTGCTGTTTTACGACGTGCTTCTGCTAATCAACCTCAGTGTCAGCGTTTCGTATTGGGTAGTCCATCGAATGCAATTGGATCACATTGCTCTGGCATTCAACGAAGGAAGCCTGCTTTCCATTCTGTGGATCATTGCTGGATTGTACAACGGTATCTTTTTGCATTCGGCCTTGGAAGGGCATCAGCCACTCTATGATGGTGCTGCGAACAGCAACAACAACGACGACAGTACCGAAGAGGAAAACGCAGCAAACAGCAAAAAGTGGTGGGAGAGTTTGACGCAAACTGACAACCTCGGAGGACCCGCAGCTGCTGGTTTGCTGGCATTGAATACGTTCATCAATACCCTCAGTTTGAGATTGATTGTCGCACTGGTGGTCGCCGTCGTTGAACATCGACCAGTCTTTGATGATCCATTGGAACAGCTCATTCCTCTCGAGGCAACTACGGGGTTGGTTCTTATGAGCACTTGGCGGACAATTCACTCCATTTACGCGACTAGAATTTAATAAAGAACTCTGCTCGCTAGACCGAAATACAAAATAATAACAAGTACAATATACCCTTCAGAGAGAATGACAATTGAATCCATGCGTAGTTTATTGGGTCGCGCCTGGGACCATCAACTGCAGTAGTGGTGGCAGGCAAATCTGCGTCGATTGACAGCATTGGAGCATGCAAAGAATCACAACACGGATCAGGGGTAGTCCAGACTTGATCAGGAATGGCAAAGGGCTATTCATTCGACTGCGTGACGCTAGGTAGCACCCTGCACTCCAGAAGCAACGTTCGTGCAAAGGTTGCTACGACAGCACCCATTGACTATAGCATACCGGTACCCTACCGGTACGAAAGAGTTGACAATGGCCGTCTTTGGAGGCAGTACAAAACAAACAGGGAGGGGAACCAATCCAACTCGCGGAAGAAACGTCCATGACACCGGAACAATCAATCATCCTCGCGGGGGCGCAGTTGGAGAGGATCCGTCGTCGTGGCTTCCTTTCGGATGTGGGCGAGGATGCTGTATGGAACCAGGCCATCTGGATCCTCCTCGTCGTCCCCATGGCTACCGAGGGGATGCTCTCGCAGAGACTCCGAAATGATATTGAGGTTGACGAATTTGTCGGTCAAGAAGTGCGAACGCACCAGATTCTCGTCGTCTTGGTACCAGCACCAAACTCGGTCGTAAATCTCCTGGGTCATTTGGTTGAGCGCCAAACCCAAAAACGCAAACACGGCCGGATCTTTGTGGTTCCTCTGCCGCTCGAGCTCCCGCTTCACTGTGTCGTCCTCTGAACCATCGCCATTGTTGTCACCATCGCCGACGCCGACACCATTGTAGTGGCGGGGGTTTTCCTCCAAGAAACAGATCGGGGGTTCCTTCTCTGGCGTCTGCTCGTCATCCTCGTCCGAGTCGATAAAACATTCCATGCCGTCACCGTCCGAGTCGTCTGGTTTGCTCGGATCGCCGTCGTCGTCCAACTTGCCACTAAAGTAGTCAGAGGCCACGGACCGCTTGAGTCGTTGGCGCAGTTTCCGTTCCTTTTTCATATACCGCGAGTAAACTCGTTCCTCAACCCATCGCACGGGAACGTACTTGCTCCCGTCCTGTGGCAATTTTAGTCGTTCCCTGGGTCCGTACTCGTCCACATGACGGCCAATGCTTTCGAGTTCCTCGTCGAGCTCGTACGCGTACGACATGAGATGGTGATACCATTCGGGTCGCTTGTCTTCTTCTTCTGCATCAGGCACCTCCTCCTCGTCGAAAGCGTTGTCAGTTTCTCCCTTCTTCTCTTTTTGGACAGGCTCCTTCTCGTCGGTACCTCCGTTGTCACTGCTGGATCGACGTTTCCTTTTGCGGAAGTTTCTGCATTGTCGTCATCTTCATCGTCGTCCATGGAGTCATCGTCCACAAGCCACGGTTTTCTGTTGGTGCCCTTTTTCTTGGAAGTATTGTCGTCATCCTCTGAGTCGTCGTCATCTGAGTCGTCGTTGAACCGGGTCCGAGACTTTATGATTCCCAACTTAACGGGGTCCCATCCGTCAGAGTCGTTGTCGTTGTCGTAGCTGTGGACCGATTTTTCGTCGTCGCTGTCCTCCTTGTTGTTGTCGTCGCCTCCACGACCCATTGAGGTAAAGGAAAGGATGCTCTTGCGGTCGGCCGATTCCTTGGGCGACTTCTTGACGGCTTTGCGACGAAGGGTTTTGCATTCCACCTTGACCCAATACCCATCGTACCGGTTTCCACCGTAGAACAGGACCTTGTCCTGGGTAATCTCTTGGATTTTATCACACAAATCATCGTACGCTTGCTCCCACGATTCGCACAGGGCAATGCCTTCGAAATAATTTGGGACCGAATCCTTCTTGGAGTTGTTCCCAGCTCCCCTCGAATTCTTCTCGAATGGTGGAAACGGCCCCCCGATAGGCGGCCTCTTTTGAGTTGTAGACCCCGCACACACTACCACCGGCGTCTCCCGCCATTACGCCCAGCGACGTCACCACGTACACCTTGTCGGGCTTCGAGTCGACAAAATCGGCTATCTTCTGAACGATCTCTTCCGGGAGCTTTAGTTTGTCATTACTAGTATTGTTGTCTTCCTTCTTCGGAGTCTCGTCATTCTCTCCTTTGGTCTCGTTGGTGGTTGCGGTAGCAGCTTGCTCCATCTCTTATTTCTTGCTAGTAGTAATTGTGTCGGCTATTCCTCTCTTTCTGAGAGGCCCTGAAACGCACGCGATGTTACACGTATAACTCGTATCACTCGTATAACTTGTATCACTCGTATAACAGGTGTAACACTCGTATAACAGGTGTAACATGTCTTACGTGTGGAATACGTATAACACGTATAACACGCGCGCCAGCCAGCCACCGTGACCGTTCGAGTTTCGCAAAATGACTTGACTTTTGACTTTTGACTTCAACTCCAACTCCAATCTCCACCACAAAGAACCACCATGACAACAACCTCTCTTCTCTTGTTTGTTTGAAGGATACAAAGGTTTCTCTTGTTATTTGAAGATAGCACCATCATTGTGGGTAAGTAGGCAATGTGGTATGGCTTTGTTGAAGCCAAGAAGACTGTTCCTGTGGAAAGATAGAATGATTTCTCTTCATTCAACTCATTCTCCATTTTTCTGCCTCCACTCTCTTCCTCAGGCCCTGTACAGCCTTCAGGACCATTCTCTTTGCATTCATATACTTCTGAAGGCTCACTGACAAAGCCTGTGGAAGACCTGGCCTTGAATTCTACCATTGTCAACCACTTTCTGTAGGGACCAGTACCGAACCCATGTAAGTACCTCAGCGCGCAACACGTGTTACGCGGGTTACGCCTGTAACACGTGTTATGGTGTAACACGTGTTATGCATGTAACGTGTATTATATGTATCACCCGTGTTATACGTATCTAGCGTGTAACACGTGTTACGCGTGTAACATGTATTATACGTATCACCCGTGTTATACGTATCACCTGTATTATACGTATTACCCGTGCTCGTTGTCTCACCTATTTTCGTTTTCTTGTTTAGTATTTTCGTTTAGGCATCATGGTGGATTCTGACGATGAATCTGGTCCGCAAGACGGTCAAGGGGCAAACGAGAATGATGCAGAAGAGACGAAGGCTGAGGAATCTGAGGAGGAGATTCCCTTTGGCCCTGACAATCCCCTGGTCCCTTCTTCCCTGAAGAAATCACTCTCCCGCGAACTTTGTTTCATGTATTCAACAAGCATTCCGATGACGCGAAGCGCCGAAGAAATTAGATATCCATATCACCCGCATGCCTAGTCTATCTATCGCTGGACTGTCGGCATTTTGTCAGCAATGCTTTGAGCCCGTGTTGCACAGAGTAATCTCGCCAAAGCTAACTCCTTCAAAGTATACGAAAGGTTGGTCCTAGCATTACAAT